CCTCCTAATGCGTGACCTTCGATTGCGGCGATCGAAATTAAGGGAAGTCGACTAAAACGTAAGAGTGTATCTTGCATAAGCGAACTCATTTTTTTACCATTTTCTGTGGTCAGAATATGGTCATTCGCTATACTTAAATCTTTTTTGTTTTTTTTTGAAAAATTATCCGATTGCATTTTTTTCTTATTATAAAAAAAAAAAAAAAAAGAAAAGGAAAAAACTTGTCAGTATTTCAAGACTTACCTAAACCGGAACAAAAAGTATTTTCGTCTCCCGATAATATTAATGCTATTAAATCGGTTTCGTTTTTTGAATTTGTTTTACCTTGTGTAATATGTTCTAATTTATCAACCAAATCAGCTAATTCGGCCATCATTTTGCCACTTAAGGCATTATGTCGTTCAGAATTGTGAAGTGTTATCAAACCAATTCCAGGTGAAAAAGAGGAATTGTACTCTATCGAGCCCTGACTATTGAAATTGAAGGGAATCAAATAAAAATATTGAATGGATTAAATTGAATTTTTTTTTTTTTTCAAAAAATTTAACTCGTACCCAAATTTTCGAAGTTCTTCACGGATAAGGTTAAGATTTTCTCTTACGGGAGAAAGCCTAAACCGTTCAGAGAAAAAAGAAGTGACAGCGCGTTTAAACAGGAGAGAAGACATTGGTTGTTATAAAGAATTTAACACTAAGCAACTTATATTAAAAAATTAAAGATTGTGTAACTATGCGGTGTTATATCAAAAAACCCTTTTTTATTCGTTGATATTAAAATTAAATTATGTGTGATCGATTAAACTATAATTTATAATTAAAAATAAATATTTATACGTAATTTCTATCAATATACACCTTTAAACTTTTTCGAGCATTCTCATTGTTAATTCGTAAACGGTAAAGGTTGAACCTGCCGCAGGTAAACTACATGAAAAAATGATGAATATCCAAAATTTTATGAAAATATTACACCAATATATGTTACATACCTCCTCAAGACTAAAAAGAAAATCAATAAAAATTTACAATTATTACTGAATTATATTTTAAAGGAAGTAAATGTAATAATTTAAATTAATAATTCTTACTTGTTGGAGTAATACCTCGAGTAAATGCTCTTGCACCCTCGGTTTTATATATTGAACTTATGGTTGTAAAAACATAAAAAAACCCTTTGGGTGGGTTTTTCATATTTTGCACCTAAACAAGATGTTAATTAATACATTAAAGATTGCAAGATCAATATAACTAATTTAAATTCAACTCACTTTAGATTTTACAACATCAAGTGGATAACAACATAACCAATAAGAGAATCCTCCAAAAGAACCAGCAAGCATTAATTTACTTGGAGGTAAGCTATCAGGACTACTTCCTTCCGGAGTTAACTTTCTTTTGAAATATTCAAATCCGGAATAAAATCCTGCATATGCAGGTATTTCACGTGCAACGGTTGCCCAAAACCCGCGAAACAAACCGTTACGAATACCAAATTCACTTATCAAATGTCTTGCACAATCAATAGGTCCTTTATAAATAAGTTCACCAGTTCCAATCTTCGCCTTAGAACTTCCATACTGCGCTTGCATTTTAATTTTGAGCAATTCCACAGGTGACGAAAGCACGCTGTTAATAAATCCTATTTGTTGTATATCAGATATGTTACAAAGAAAAAATCATGAGCTTAGATAATAATAAAATTTTATAATCTCATACCTGCACCTGCGCCAGCTATTGCTATCTTATGAAGAACTAATTGTTCATTAAGAGACGTGGCCTGGATAGATTTTAATCGTGAATAAGTTGCAAATAGTAAAGCGTTTACGGCACCTATGCCGACTAATGGAGCAGCCATTCCTAATAATGTGATGTATTTTTAAATGAATTAAGTGATTTTCTTTCAATTTGTATACGGCTTCGACTTCCTGGCTACCTTTATATAAGGCAAAAAAGCCTTCATTTTTTACGGTTTGCATGAAACAATCCATAGGACCCTTGAATCTGGTAGATTCTACTTGAAGTCGAACCTATGAATGAAGCATTTATTTAAATCATTCAAAATTAACAGCATAACTTTTCTAAAATTCATTGTAATTCATACCTTAATTGTATCTAAAGGCTGCCCAACAATGACTTGTGACTATATTTATTCATAATTCAAAACGAAAAATTTAAATTGAACGTATCTTCTCACATATTTATCATCAAATTATTTTGAATACTAACCATTCCGGCAAAACTATACAATTCATTGAAAGTTTAATTGCAACGTCAATAAAACAACATATGTTTCTCCTTAAAGGCTCATCATACTTACTTGCCGGCAACAAAGTCTTTCCAGCCGCCTTTATTTGGTGGAGTAGGTGGGACGTCAGCCATTTCGTTAATTGTCTTTCAATGTTAAAAAGCTACGTTATATAAATGAAAAAAATTTTGCACGTGAAAGACGCGATCTTTTGTTACACGTTCCAATTATTCGAATAATGGCGCCATTCCGGCTGATCATAAATTAATGAGATAATTCGCGAATGTACCTTTTTAGTAGGATGTGGACACTATTATTAATT